GCCTCCATCTCTCCTCTTTCCCTCCTCGGGTTCCTGGTTTTCCGCCTGGGCTTTGCATGCCTGCTGGAAGCAGCAGAACTGGAGGGGGCGGGGGAAGGCAAGTGCTGTATTGGGCTCTGTCCCTCCCCTCACCTACCACTCTCCTCTGGCCGGCAGAGTCTTGCTACCTGGGCTTCAGCTCCTTCTTAGTCACACCCCGTGTTTGAGGACCACAGGCAGGGCCTTGGTGCCTGACTGCACCCCAGCCTTGCAGCACTTCCGAGGCAGACCCTGGGAGTGGGCGTGAGATGGGGACGTGGAGGAATGTTGGCCTCCTCAGTGAGGACGCAAGTCAGACGAGGTTCCCTTTCCATGTGTGGCCCAGCGCAGACCAGAATAACACAGTATTGGAGGAGGGGATTATCTCAAGGGATTGGGGGAGGGGTGGGGGAAGATGGTCAGTTTGTCTTGCCCCATGCTATGTCTGTCTGTCTACCTATATGCACACATACCACACATATCTTCAAAAGGTAGTGGGAAGCTGGCGCCCTCAGCTCAACAGGCTAATCCTCCACCTAGCGGAGCCGGACACCGGGTTCTAGTCCCAGTCAGGGTGCCGGATTCTGTCCGGTTGCCCCTCTTCCAGGCCAGCTCTCTGCTATGGCCCAGGAATGCAGTGGAGGATGGTCCAAGTACTTGGGCCCTGCACCTGCATGGGGACCAGGAGAAGTACCTGGCTCCTGCCATCGGATCAGTGTGGTGCGCCGGCCGCAGCACCGGCTTGAATCTAGTCTTTTTAGCATTTATTTCTCTCTCTTAAATTTTATCATTTAAGGCCTGTTGAGTGGTATGGTGGTTGTCCTTGAATCATTATCTGGTCATTTGTTTTAAGGGAAACTTAGTCTACTTTTTAAATCAATCACAATTTATGCATTTCAGTTTTGATAGATAATGTGATAAATATGAACTATTTGATTTACTTTGAATAATTTCCTTGGGAAAAGTTCACCAAAATAAAAACTCTGCATGACAAACTGGAAAAATTTACTGAACAGATATTAACATGTATTTTAAAGCCATGATAGCAAGTAAGGCATGGGTATTGTTAAATGAAAACAAAACTGGACCTTACCAAAGATAGAAATTATTCAAAAGGAAACTGCAACAAGGGGCAGCAGACTATTGGAATAAGAATGTTCTGATCAGATGCAAACATTTGAGGGGTCAGGTGGAAACAGGCTTCCTTCCTTCCTCCCTTCTTTCCTTTTTCAAAGATTTATTTATTAGAAAGGCACAGCAACAGATGAAAAGGACAAAGATCTTCTTTCTTCAGGTTTCACTTCCTAAATGGCTGTAGCAGCCACTGGATTGGACCAGGCCAAAGAGAAGAGCCAGCAACTCCATCCTGGTCTCCTCGCAGGGGTGGCAGGGGCCTAAGTACTTGTACCACCATCTGCTACCTTCCCAGGCACATTAACAGGAACCAGGTTCAGGAGAGGAGCAGCTGGGGACTCCAACTAGTACCCAGATATGAGATGCCAGGTATTCGAAGTGGTTGCTTAACTCACTATACCACAGTGCCAGATCAATAGCTCTTCTTTTATAGGAAAAAGAAAATAAGCTCAGGGACTATCTTTCTTGGAGTATTATTATTTTATAGGGCAAAGTAAGGAAAGCTAAGGAGCAGCTATTCTGCATGCCACTTTGGGTGGCTGAAGGTTCAAAGTTCAGGTTCTTGTGGGAGGAGACAAGCTTAATTAAATTGATCAATGTCAGTTAATAAATACTGCTTTTGATGGTTCGATTCAGATAAATATTTCAGCTAAACACCTCTGTAACACAAATGGAAATTTGGATGGGAGTGTGTCTGAAATAACAAAAAGGTGAGATTGTAAGGGTAAGTGTGGGAAAGATATTTCCCCTACCTCACTTTCCTTGAAGCATTTCCATTAGAGAAATTGTAGTGACAAACTCTTTTCTATCCTTTTCAGATTCATACAAATGTGTGTACGTGTAATATATGTACCTATATAAAATACTATTTTAAAAAGTAAATAGGATTCTCACCTGCTTTAAAAATCAAAGTTTTTCCTTAAGTTCTTTTGGAGCCATTTCATTGGAAGTTAAGCAATGAAGAAAGCAGCCCAATCTCCCAGGCTCTGCAGAAGTTTTGCCCTGGGTACCTGGCTCTTAGCACAGAAGTATAAGAAGTCTAATTTTTTATAAAGGTATTTAAATAACAGCTAGACACTTCAATTAGCAGGTGCATTTAGGATGAATATGTGGCAATTAGTGCTCTCAAGTCAAACTGGCAAGGTGGAGTATTATCTAAGTCATCTGGGGAAGAATTGTTCTTTGCAATAAACTATTTCTGAGAAAGAGAAGCATGCAGGATTCCTCTGTCCCTGTGTTTCTGGGCTACAGAGCTCAGGTAAAGTTCAATATTGTCAGAAGTGACACAAAATTAGACAAAGAAATCAAAGCATCAGGGTTGAGTCTAGAAGTAAAAATACATAATATATATATTATATATATATATATACATAATTAAGTTGTGACAAGGGTGCCACTGAAAGAAAATATTAACAGGGGACCAGCACTGTGGGGCAGCGAGTTAAAGACCCAGCTTGCAGTGCCAGGCATCTCATATGGGCATGTTTCAAGTCTTGACTACTCCATTTCTGATCCACCTTCCTGCTAATGCACCTGGGAAAGCAGTGGAAGATGGCCCAAGTCTGTGGGCCCCCTGCACCCATGTGGGAGACCTGGAGGAAGCTCCTGGCTCCTGGCTTCAGATCAGCTCAGCTCTGGCAATTGCAGCCATTTGGGGAGGAGAAACCAGCAGATGGAAGATCTCTCTCTCTCTGCCTCTCTATAACTCTGCTTTTCAAATAATATTTTTTTTTTAAAAAAAAGTTTATTTAATAATTGAATGTTTTCAATAATTGGTGAAGGTCACTGACTATATATATGGGAAAACAACTGACTTCTATATTGTACCTTGCACCAAAATTAAATCCAGGAAGATAATAATCTATGTGAAAAATAAAATAGTGCAACGTCTGGAAGATAACACAGGAAATAAACTGCAGGACCTTGGTGGCAGGTAAAGATCAAGAATATTACTCATAAAACAAAGACTTATTTACATGAATTACATTAAAATTAGAAACATCTGTACCAAAGGAAATGATCAGGGCCAGTGCTGTAGCATAGCAGGTTAAGCCGCAGCTGGTGGTGCCAGCATCCCAAGTGAGCTCTGGTTCAAGTCCTGGCTGCTTCACTTCCATTCCACTCCCCTGCTAATGCACCAGGTAAAGTAGTGGAAGATGGCCCAAACTCCCGGGGAACTTGTTCCCCATGTGGGAGACCTGGAAAGAAGCTCCTGGCTCCGGACTTCTTATCAGAAACCCTATAGGCTAGGAGATAATGGTGAGATATAGTGCAAGTTTGCAAGTTTAACAGGGAAAAAAAAAAAACCTGCCAACCCAGAATACTATAGCCAGCAAAGTTCTGATTTTTGAATAAAGGGTAAATAAAGACTCTTTACCACAAACAGAAATTGAAAGAATTTGTTGGGGTTGGCACTGCGGCATAGTAGACAAAACCGCCACCCACAGTGTCAGCATTCAACATGGGTGCCAGTTTGAGTACAGGATGCTCCACTTCCTATCCAGCTCTCTGTTATGGCCCAGGAAAGCAGTACAAACTGGCTCAAGTCCTTGGGCCCCTGCACCCACGTGGGAGACCCGGAAGAAAATCCTGGCTCCTGGCTTCAGATTAGCGCAGCTCCGGTTGTTGTGGCCAATTGGGAAGAGAACCAGCGGTTTGGAAGACCTCTGTCTCTGTCTCTCCTTTTCTCTCAGTGTTCCTCTGACTTTCAAATAAGTAAATCTTAAAAAAAAGAATTTGTCACCATTCTTCCAGCCTTACAAAAGATGTTTAAGGATGTGCTATACGCAAACACAGAAATATGATCATCAATATTAAAGAATGTGAAGGCAGAAAATCTCCAAGTAAAGGTACAAAGGAAATCCAAAGTAAACAATAGGAATATTAATGCACAAATGGCAGGGACAAATTGTTTTATCAATAGTCACCTTGATCGGGGCTGGAGCTGTGGCGTAGCAGGTAAAGCTGCCTCCTGCAGTGCCGGCATCCCATATGAGTGCCAGTTTAAGTCTCAGCAGCTCAACTTTCAATCCAGTGCTCTGCTGTGGCCTGGGAAAGCAGTAGAAGATACAAAGTCCTTGGGCCCCTGTACCTGCATGGGAGACCTGGAAGAAGCTCCTAGCTCCTGGCTTTAGATCACTGCAGCTCTGGCCAAGGCAGCCAACTGGGGAGTGAAACAGTGGATGGAAGACTCTCTCTACCTCTCCTTCTCTTTCTGTGTAACTCTGCCTTTCAAATAAATAAATAAATCTTTAAAAAAATAGTCATCTTTCATGTAAATGGCCTCAACTTTCCAGTAAATGATACAGACTGGCTGAAAGAATGAATAAACAAGATCTATCTATTTGTTGCCTACAAGAAACACATCTCACCAACAAAGATACACACAGACTGAAAGTTGAAGGATGGAAAAAGATATTCCATGCTAACTGAAACTAAAGAAGACCTGGTTTAGCCATCCTAACATAATACAAAATAGACTTTAACACAAAAACTGTTCAAAGAGACTAAGAAGGGTACTAGGTAATGATTAATTGCCAATTTAATAGGAAGATGTGACTATAATAAATTTATATGCACCTAATTACAGTGCACCTGGCTATAAAAAAATGTTAAGGTATTTAAAGGGAGACATAGCCTTCAATATAACAGTATTGGGGGATTTGAATATCCTACTTTCAGCAGTGACAAATCAGACAAATTTTCAGCAAGGAAACAACAGAGTTATTGATACTATAGTCCAAATGGACCTCATAGATACCTACAGAACTTTGCATCCTATAGCTGCAGAATGCACATTCTTTTCACCAGTGCATGAAACACTTTCTCTACCATTTATCACATTCTAGGCCATAAAGCAAGTCTCAGCAAATTCAAAAAATTCAAAATCATATCATGTATCTTCTCTGACCACAATGGAATGAAGATGGAGATCAGCAACTCAAGAATCTGTGGAACATATGCAAACACATGGAAACTGAACAAGATACTCCTGAATGAACAGTGGGTCATAGAAGAAATAAAAAGAGAATTAAAAAATTTTGGAAACATATCAAAACTTATGGGATACAGCAAAAGTAGTCTTAAGAGGAAAGTTTATACCAGTTGGTACCTACATCAAGAAATTGGAAAGGCATCAAATAAATGAGCTATCAATGCATCTCAAGTAAGTAGAAAAACAACAGAAAATCAAACCCAACACTAGTAGGACTTAAGAAATGATTAAAATTAGGGAAAAAATTAAAAAAAAATACAAAAGATCAGCAAAACAAAGACCTGTTTTTTGAAAATATAAACAAGATGGATAAACCATTTGCCCAAATAACAAAAAAAAGAGGGAGAAGATCCAAATCAATAAAAGCAGAGATAAAAAAATGTAACAACAGGTACCACAGAAATAAAAAGAATCATCAGGAATTACTACAAAGAGCTTCATGCTAACAAATTAGGAAAATTAGGAGAAAAACAATGGATACATAGATGCTACCAAAATTGAGTCATGAAGACACATAAGACATAAAAAGCCCAATAACCAAGATGGAAAATGAATCAGTGATAAAGACACTCCCAACAAAGAGAGGTTAAGAACTGGATGGATTCACTGCTGAATTCTACCAGATATTTAAAAAAAGAACTAATTTCAGTTCTTAAGTCATTCAAAACAATTGAAGGGGGGAACCTCCCAAACTCCTTCTATGAAGCCAGCATCACCTTAATTTCTAAACCTGAAAAAGATACAACAGAAAAAAAAAACTATAGATGAATTTCCCTAATGAACATAGATGCAAAAATCCTCAACAAAATCTTAGCCAATCGAATCCAATAGCACATCAAAAATATCACTCACTGGATCAAATGATATTTATCTCTGGTACACAGGGATGATTCAGTCTTCACAAATCAATCAATGTGATACATCACCTTAACAAACTGAAGAACAAAAACCATATGATTATCTCAACAGATGCAGAGAAACATCTGATAAAATACAACATCCTTTCATGATGAAAACCATAAGCAAATTGGGGATAGAATGATCATTCCTCAACACAATCATGGAAATTTATGTCAAACCTATGGCCAGCATCTAACTGAGTGGGAAAATGTTGGAAGCATATCAACTAAGATCTGGAACCAGATAAGGATGCCCACTCTCACCACTGCTATTCGATATAGTCCTGGAAGTTTTAGCCAGAGCCATTAGACAAGAAAAAGAAAGCAAAGGGAAATAAATTGGGAAGGAGGAAGTCAAATGATCGCTATTTACAGATGACATGATTCCATATATATGGGATCCAAAAGAAACAACTAAGAGACTATTGGAACTCATAAGAATTTGGTAAAGTGGCAGGATATAAAATTAACACACAAAAATCAATAGTTTTTCTATACAGACAATGCCATAGCTGAGAAAGAACCTCTAAAATAATCCCAGTCACAATAGCTACAAAAAAAAAATTGAAAACCTTAGAATAAATTTAACCAAGGGCATCAAAGCTTTCTATGATGAAAATTATAATGCATTAAAGAAAGAAATAGAAGACACCAAAAAGTGGAAAAATCTTCCATGTTCATGGGCTGGAAGAATCAATATCATTAAAATATACATACTACTGGGGTTGTCTGAGGAGAGAACTGGTGGATGGAGGACCCCCCTCTCCCTCCCCCCTCTGCCTCTGTCTCTCTGTAACTCTGCATTTCAAATAAAATGAAAAAATATTTTTTAAAAGAATTCCATACTACTGAAAGCAATTTACAGATTCAATGTGATCTCGATCAAAATACCAAGGACATTCTTTTCAGATCTAGAAAAAACAATCCTGAAATTCATATGGAAACAGAGGAGACCTTGAATAACTAAAGCAATCTTATACAACAAAAACAAAGCTGAGGCATCTGAATACCAGATTTCAAGACATACTACAGGGCAGTTATAATCAAAATAGTCTGTTACTGGCAAAAAAATAGACATGTAGACCAGTGGAACAGAATAGAAACTCCAGCAATCAATCCATGCATCTACTACCAACTTACCTTTGACAAAAGAGCTAAAATCAATCCCTGGAACAAGAACAGTCTCTCTAACAAATGGTGCTGGGAAAAGTGGATCTCCAAATCCAGAAGTATGAAACAAGACCCCTACGTTACACCTTATACAAAAATCCACTCAAAATGGCTCAAAGGCTAAATTTATGACCCAATACCATCAAATTATTAGAGACATTGGGTAAACTGTGCAAGACACTGGCATAGGCAAAGACTTCTTGGAAAAGGCCCCAGAAGCACAGGCATCAATGCCAAAATTGACAAATGGGATTATATCAAATTGAAAATTTTCTGGACTGTAAAACACACACGCAGCAAAGCAAAGAGGCAACCAACAGAATGGAAGAAAATATTTACAAACTAGGCAACTGATATATGATTAATACACAGAATCTAAAAAGAGCCCAAGAAACTCAAGAGCAATAAAACAAACCATCCAATTTAAAAATGGGCAAATGATTTTATCAGGCATTTTTCAGAAGAGGCAATTCAAATGGCCAACTATCACTTGAAAAAATTCTCAGGATCACTAACCATCAGGGAAATGCAATCAAAAGCACAATGAGGTTTCACCTCACCCCAGTTAGAATGGATTTCATACAGAAATCAACAAAGAATAAATAATGGTGAGGATGTAGGGGAAAAGATATCCTAATCCACTGTCAGTGGGAATGTAAGCTGGTACATCCACTGTGGAAGACAGTATGGAGATACCTCAGAAATCTGAATATATTGGGGCTGGCACTGTGGCAAGGTAGGTTAATCCTCTGTCTGCAGTGCCAGCATCCCACGTGGGCATTGATTCTAGTCCCAGCTGCTCCTCTTCCCATCCAGCTCTCTGCTATGGCCTGGGAAAGCAGCAGAAGATGGCCCAAGGGCTTGGGTCCCTGCACCCACATGGGAGATGTGGAAGCTCCTGGCTCCTGATGGGCCTACGTCCAGGAGTTGCGGCCATCTGTGGAGTGAACCAGCAGATGGAAGACCTTTCTCTCTCTCCTCTCACTGTCTATAACTCTACCTCTCAAATAAATAATCTTTTAAAAAAATTGAATATAGCCTTACCATGACACCGCCATCCCATTCCTGGGAATTTACCATAAGGAAATAAAATCAGCATATGCATACAAATTATATACCTATGTATATTGTAATTCCTCTGAAGGAAATCATGTAGTTCTCAGCCACATTAAAAACACTGATCTATACTGTAAAAGAAGTATTGATGCTGGGGCCAGTGTTGCAGCACAGCATGTTAGGCCACTGGTTAACAATGTCAGCTTCTCCTAAGAGCATGGGTTTGACTCCTGGCTTACTCCACTTCCAGTCCAGCTCCTTGCTAATGTGTCTGGGAAAGCAGTGGAATACGGTCCAAATTCTTGGGTCCCTGCACCCATGTAGGAAACATGGATGGAGTTCCTTTTCTCCTGACTTTAACATGGCCCAATCCCAGGTATTGTGGCATCTGGGGAGTAAACCAGTGGACAGATCTCTCTTCTCTTCTCTCTTCACTGTCTTTGAAAATATACCTTTCAAATAGATAAATCTTACAAAAGAAATAAAGAAGGAGAGAGAGAAAGAGAGATGGAAGGAAAGGAGGAAGGAGGGGAGGGAAAGAGAAAAAGGAAGGAAGAAGAAAAGAAGAAAGGAAAAAAAAGAAGAGGTTTGAAGGTTTTGCATATGTTATTCACATATATTAGAGGTAGCAAAAAATCGGTATGGAGACTCATTAAAAAAACATTGTGGTAGATCTCTTTAATGATGGCTATAAGTTTTTGGAAAATTTGCTAATAGTGGGGATGGAACTGAAAGAATATGGATTCAAGAGATATTTAGGATTTAGATATTTACATTAATAGAAGCTACTGATGGATTGAACATGGCTGAGACAAATTGGTAGTGTAAAGAAATCTTAGGTTTCTTTCTGATGCTTTAATGGAAGTGCTGAATGAAGAGAGACAGAGACAGAGATAAAGACAGAGACACAGATACAGACACAGGCATGGACACAGATTGAAGAGGAAAGAGGATGGGAGAGGGAAAAAGAGAGAGATGGTTTTTATTTTTTGATGGTACAGTCAAGAGAGAAGAGCTAAAAAGTTTGGCTTTAGGCAGTGCAAATACAGTGCTTGTCATAAGAACATATAAGATGATTTGTAGATATTTGGATGTATGAATTAGAATATGTTAAAAGCCCCAAATTGAAAATAATTTAAAAAACTATCAAAAAGAATCTATATTGGAAGGAGTGCACTCATAAAATGTCAAACTGTGAAATACTATTTAGACTGAAAAGATAATGACATGAATACATGTAAGGCATTATTAGTGCAATGGAAAATATTTCATTATAGGTGGACTGAAACTTCAGCTTCAGTGTGAACTAAGAACCAGTTCTCTGTCCAGAGTCTTGTTATTCAAGTGATCAGATGTGTTTTACTGTTCCTCTTTTATATACAAATTTCTTGGCCATATGTTAAATTTTAGTCTCCTACTGAAAGCATGAGCTTTTTCCCTCTTTACAGCTGGATAAATCTAGAGCTTGGTTCATATTTGAAAGTCTGGACTTTGTCCACAACAAAAGATGTGACACAAAATATCTTTCATATATGCATCTATATGTTTGATATGCAGACATACATGCTCACATATGTAAAAGTAAAATATATAGTATATACTGTGAGCTTCCAGTGTCATGATGGCTCTGAAGATGCTCTGAAAAGTATGAAATTCTATCCTGATGTGAGATGTTCTTGTAATACTATTTGATTTGTACATACATATACTACAGTGTTTGGGAGGAGGGTAGGAAAGAAGGGGGGTTTTAATATGCAAATCTGTAAAATAACTTCCTCAACAGAGCAAGATTTTTATCACTCCACCATGAAGGAGGAGAAATTATTGTGCTTTGCTGCTAATTACCCTAAGGTATTTGACTGTTTACAAAGAGTAAGTAAAAGTAAACAAATACTGACATTTCTAATACTGAGCAAATTCCTAATTTCTTGCTTTGTATTAGCAACTTTTTAATGTACCAAGTATCTCCAAAATACCTTAAAATTTGCAGAGTGCTTCACATACATGCTTTCATTTGGATTCCATAGTAATACCCACATTATTTTGTTTATTTCAAGAGAAATTATCTTATTTAGAAAGTAGCAGGATTGTGACTCAAAACAACTTCTCTGGTTCCCTGTCATATGCTCTTTATTTCCTAAAGGTTGCTTGTAGGTTTTTTTTCTTTTGCTTTTTAATCCTAGAAAGCAATGGGACAGTATTTTTCATTTGTGCATTTATATTAATAAAAGCCTATGTTCTAGGAATTTATTTTTAGTACTCCTGCCAGTGAATTTTAAAAAATTTATTTTAGATGTGGGAAAAATATAATCTTGCCTCTTAACTTGCTCAGGAAGAGAAAGGGGTCTATGACCGCTGACCCATAGTGACTATAATAAGCAGTAGATAGAAAGTGTAAAAGCAATACAGAATCTAAAGTTTTCATCTAAAGTCAGAGCAATTAGAATGATAGTATCTCACACTTACTGAACACTTATTATATGCCTGGCACAATTTAACTCCTTCAATTTTTTGAATTATTTAATTTTCAGGGTAATCAATGAAATAGATATTATTCCTGTCTAAACACAAAACACAAAGAAATGGCCACACAGAAACCATGATTCTTTAGGAGGCAAGGTTCTAATGGGAAAGTTAAACATTCTAGGACTACAAATGTAGAGGAAATAATGATTCAAAGACTGAAAATGGTTTTAAAAGAGGGGAAAAGATTTCTCAGGTTTCACAAATTCTATCCACATATAAAAATTTAGTTATTCCCATTTTATTGGGAATGATTGAAACCGTCCTTACTGTATACTGAATTTTACAAGTAACCTCTATGATTATAGAACTATTTCATTAAAAATGTACAAAATAAATGTCTTCTGCTTCTCAAAATTAGGTGCTTTTCTGAGTATTGCATGAACCCTGTATCTTTACTATATCCACACTGTCAACCACTCATTTTTTAAAAAAAACAATTTGAGAGGTAGGGATGATAATGGGTTTTAGGGTCCAAACAAACTTTCAAACTCACCCAACACCATGAAGTGCTCATATTCTACAAAGGAACACCTTGCAGACATTGTATTATACACACACCTGTACACAAGGACACAAAGGCACACACACAACATTTGAAGGAATGTGCCCGAAGGTTTCTCTACCTACAATTCTGTTTCTTGCCGAGGATGGAAAGAAAGTTGATGGATCATCAATGAGGAAGAGCTCTTGACGATGTCTGCTGAACGGGCAGCGAAATTCAGGATGAGGATACTCACACGCTGGAAGTTTCACAGCCGAAAGCATATAGGTCAATGGAGTGCCTCATTTTGGGGAACATCACTCTCCTTAATAGGCATT